GTCGATTTTTAGCGCAGGAATGTCCCTTGGAATTTTATTTCATTTCTCTCGGCCGGTTCGGACTCCATCGGAGAAGTTCTCTCCACCCCTAAACGAACAAAGCGCATATAATTCATCGGCCATAAATCCACCGGCGGTCACGTCGCGGTCCTCGCAAATCAGCTCGCCGAAGTTCGCGAAATAAATTGCGATTCCACGCGGATTGCCGGAATTTATGATTATGACGCTCTATACACGCCGGTGCCTCTCTTACCTTTCAATTCATTCTCGCTTCAGTGATTATTTTGCATGATAAAACGCGAAACGGGAGTAACGTTTTATTTTAACTCCTCGATGACGCGCGCGCGGACATTGTAGAGGCAGGTAAATCTTTTCAACAAAAACCTCTACAAATTTTTAAGGACGCTTACGAGATACGAATAATAAAACGGGACTGAAATTTTATAGTATAATCGGTGCAATTTGAAACTCAAAACTTGGAAGCACATTGCATAGATTACACTTTATTCAAAAATACGTAAATATGGATTCGAAACCTTAGAGTTAAAGTAGGACCCTCAGTAAAACTGAACAACATATAGAAAACGGCTAATGCGGGTCTAAGGCAAGATGGATTCGAAAGATTTTATATACGGATTGAAGAAACGGTCGCGATTAGTGCTCGCAGAAATTGCGGATGATCCAGAAAACTTTAATCATTACTTGGTGGGACGTAAATAAGTTGAAAGCGCAAGCTTTGAGGCGGAAACCCCGAAAATGTGGAGGAGAGCGAAAAGTAAAGTTGGCGAAAGAAAGAGCTTTGCTAATGGCGCGACTTCCATCGGAGTTCTGCTTGATTTTGCCGCGGCTTTTATGTCCTAACGCCTCGTCCCCTACACAATACATTTCCTCCCCTTTAAAGTAATTCGTTCCTCTTCCCCCCCCCCCCCTAAAAGCGCTGCATTTTAAATCGCGTCAAGAATTCATCAGGATTTCCAAACGTCGTAGGGAAAAAGGGCGCGAGTAAATCCAAACGAGCACCACTCGGAAATTATAGCAACATTCCGTGATTGTAAAAAGCGTACAATCTAATTATATCGCAAACCTACGGTACAATTTTGAAAAAGACTTCCAGCCATTACACAATTTCCAGTAATTCATTTAAATTATTTCAGCAAATTCTGCGATTTTAATTTAAACTCTCTTTCGTTTACTTCGCATAACTCGTTGCGAAATGCTTCGGTTATTTACGATCCACGATACAGTGGATCGCTCGACGCGATGGACGTTCTGTGATAACTCGTCGAGAGACTCGCATTTTTTCGCTCGAGAAAATTCGGAGAACGCGAGGTCCTCTGCGTTACGTGGAGACAATTACGGGAAAAATAATTTCGGGGACGCTTCTCGCTCTTCATTACGGCCGTGTAAACCACCTAATCGTCTCTTTACAGGCCGCGCTTTAAAATCCCCCGTTGAAAAAATTTTCCAACGGCTCAACAGCTGGCGCTCGATAATTGCCGACTCCGAAAAGGAAAAAGCGGAGGGTTGCTGCATCAAAGGTAAAACGTTCAATAGCCCTGCGTATGCCGTAATTACCAGCCGAGCAGCCAATAGTAGCCTATCATTATCTATCCGATGTCTATCCTTCCTGCACGATAACGCACGATATGCGGACCCCTAGTAAATTTCCTTCGATTGAATTGTGTTCTGTGAGGCGTAACCGCGGTCGTCGATCGCGAAACTCGGCGACGCAAGCGCGACAGGATTTAGACATCTTTTCGAAACACTTACAAATGTGAAACTTGTATACGATGCTTACATAATTCGGTGTACCCCGTTGTTCACCGTGGCTCAATAGTTGCGTATACGTATAAGCCGTAATCGTCTAATAAAAGCATGGGGCTTTAGCAATCGCTTTCATTATTCTCGTCATTTCCGGAAAACGCAACCCGATAATCCCCGCTGGAGGAATTTATCGTCGGAGGATCGACTTAATCTCGGGGTATTTTAGGATCGCGGCTATAATCGTGTGCACAGGCGATTTATAATTTCCCGTTTGGCACAATCCAGTCATTGCAGGATCGCAATTTAAGCAGATTATTACAACTCGGAGGGGAAATCCGCGGGAAATCAGAAATCCGGTATCTTTGCGCGGAGAGAGAGAGAGAGAGAGAGAGAGAGAGAGGGGAGAGAGAGAGAGAACGTCGCGAAAAAAAATATGCGCGGGGGAGAGCGAGATTTGGCGTTTGCCTCGCTGATCGGCCAATCGCTTAGCGAGGATTTCACACAGTCGCTGAAAGGCCAAAACCCGTTCGATGTGGCGGGCAAACTGTTCGCGAGGCTCTGGGACCCGTTCGTTCCGTTCCGGTGAATAAATTCAACTTTGATGTCCCAATCATCGCGCGACGCGCGCTGACCTCGTAATTAAAATCGAATTTTCGGGACGAATCGAGGAAGAGCGAATCGATCTCGCTCCGGTCAACGGCAGAGAGCGAGAGAGAGAGAGAGAGATTCTCGCCAGAAAACCCTTGGCGCTCGCGCGAACCGGATTCCGGGAAGTCTTAAAAGCAGTCTCCCTCTCGTCTTTTTTTCCCTCTCTCCCCCTGGCGACGCGGGGCTGCTCCACGCACCGCCGCGGTTATTTTTGCGGGATAACGAATTGCAGGGGCGCGCGTCGTGTATCATATTACGAGGCGGCGCTCGATTTCCACGGTTAACGCGCGTCACCGCGACACCCGCTTTCCGCGCCGCGCGACGGAAGCGAGACTCGCCGCCGAGGTTCGCGGGGAAGAGTAACGATCTCCCCGCGCGATTACTCGGCGAAAGAGGGTTCCTCAGAATCCCTCCCCCCCCCCCATGCCCAGGACGACCGCTTTAATTCGACCCGACGTTAATTAAACTGGCGGCTCCAGCTACGCTTATACCTGGCGCGAGACACTGCCGTGTCTCGCGATTATACGACGACTCGAAGACCCGAAGCCGCTCGACGCGTCACGCCCGATCGCGAGATAATCGGGAACCGCGCGCGGGCCGCCGATAGCGGAGATAACGTGACCTAATAACGAGTGGATCTGCGCCGATAAATTCAGCTCGGTGTCCGTCCAGACGCGAGAGCCGTCCGCGAATAACTCGTCGAAAAAGTTAAGCGCGCTCGACACGTTATTAAGTACGATCCTCTCTCGCTCCCGCGGAGACGCCGGCGGATTCACGTGAATTCGTTAAACGCGGGTTATTCACGTTCACGAGCGCGCCGTCGCGTCGCTCGGTCGTAATGAGCGTCGCTAAGCGCGTCTCTCGCTCAACCCTTTTACGATCGAGTTAATCTTTCGACTTGAAGTTTTCGTTCGATGCCTTTCCGGTAACGAGATGCAGATCGTCGAGGCCCGGATTTCGCCAAAGTCGCTCAACTCCAAGCTTGACTCGATTCATTCTCGGGCCCGGTTTCACCGACGTCGCGTATCTTTAAGGCCCAGTCTACAATGAGTTGTTAGTCGTTAGTCAGAAGTCGGAGCTATATGTCGGTCCTTTTTCTTCCACCCAGAAAGGAAAAGGATCAACATATAGTTGCGACTTCTGACTAACGACTAACGACTCATTGTAGACCGGGCCTAAGCTTAGCTTAATTCGTTCTTTGTCTCTTTCCAACTGTTAAGCCTCCGCTACAATGATTCTTGGTTCTGTCTACAATGGTCGTACAGTTGTATCGATGGTCGCTTGAGCAGTCGCAAAGCAGTCGTAGTCGTAGTCGCTCGAATAGGTTCAATTCCTATTCCAACGACCACGACTGCGTTTATTGCCGCGACGGACCAATCAGAGAATAGTGATATATGTCGTGTGTCATTATATGTCGAATATATCGTGGGAAAATACCTCAAAAACGGAAAATCGGTTTCAGTTATACATCGATACGACCCAATCCATGACTCTACGATTCTAAGACTGCGACCATTGTAGACAGAACCGAGAATCATTGTAGCGGAGGCTTAAAGCCTTGTCTACATAGAAGTCGTAAAGTCGTAGTCGTAAGAATAGTCGACTATGATTGGCCAATTCTTATGTGTCTGACGAAATTGACCAATCGCAGTCGATTATTCTTACGACTGCGACTCTGCGACTCGCATTGTAGACCACGCATTACTCTAGAAAGAGGCAAACGCGAATTAGGGCCAGTTTCACAAACGTCGTTTAACCGCTAACCCATGGTTAATCGATCCTCTGTCTCTTCTTGGATAACAAGATTGAGAAAGATAGGAAGTCGACTGAACTCTGGTTAACAGTTAACTGACGTTTGTGAAACTGGACCTTAAACTAAGATTCGAGTTAAACGACGCTGGTGGAGCCGGGCCCCGAGTCTTTTAAAATTTTAAGCGGGACTTGCGCCGCGTCACGGTGGTCACGAAAGGGTTAAGCGCTCGCTAAACGCGGCCGCGCAGCTCCCACGCGACGAACAGGATCGAACGCGATCCTTTCCCGTCGAACGCAAGCTCCCTTCGCCCCGGGTCCAGCCCCGTTTCCTTCGACCACCCCGATCCCAAGCGGAGCATTTACGTTTAACGAGCGTTTAGAAAAACGGTTAGCCGCTTTCACGCTGTATAAAACGTGCGATAAATGCGTCCACTGTGCGCTCCGTGCGTCGCGAAAAGGTATGTTGAACCGCCACGAGTTAAAAAAGAACTAATAAAAATATTCCTAAATGTCGCCAGCACACTGGAAACAAAATCTGATAGACCAGTCGTCTGTTAGAAAACGGACGAATCAGAATTCCTTTAGGATTTACCATGAAAGATATTTCATAGCCAGAAGTTTGCTGGATTTCGCTACACATCTAGTCCGGGAGGTCTTAAACGTTTATTTTTCTTGTTCAATTGCGCGTCTACCGTCGAACGTAACTGCGTCGCTTTCCGAGGAAGCTTCGATACCGAAGCTCGAGCCGCGCGACGCGCGATCGCGCGGAGAGAATGCGATTTCCATTCTTCCCCCCGCTTCTTTCTCGCGCGAAACGCTCGGAAAGTGCTACTCACATGAGATCGCCTCCTTCGGGATGTCGCTGAGCGGGAAGCCCTGCGCCTCGAAGACCGGCCTGACACTGTCGCACTTGAGCCCGGCGGCGTTCACCGTCGTCGTCGCGACGACGGCCGCCGCGACGGCGACAATCCACAGAGTCGTCTTGGTACCCGTCATCCTCGCGTAGGCGGTGACGTCGGCGTCGTCCTTTTACCTCCTCTTCCTTCCGCGCGCGGTAAACGAGACGCGAGAGAGAGGAGCGGAAGGCGCGCGATCGAGAGAAGGCGCGGAACACACGCTACGAACTCGGGCACTGCTTACTCGCGACGACACTTCGGTGCGACGACTCGTTGCATTCGCCGGCGCGTTCGCGCGCGCGCACGCCCGCGCGATCCCCGAGCGTTCGCGGAGCCGGCGGCGGATACGCTTTATCCCCCTCGTGGCACACCGAGAGTCGAGCGTAGCGGACGCGTATCGCGAGACACTCTCCGGAATGAAGACCGACCCCTTCGCCGGCGCGAAACGCACTGAACTGACTGTAGCGTGCGCGGCCGAGAACTCGGAGCAGTCGGAGCGGAGCGGCCGCCGACAAATGGCGCGCTTGCGCCGCACGCCGCACTGTAACAGGTTTGAACCTACCAGGGCGAGCAACCGCGTCTGGCGCGGCGCGCCTGCGCTGCTAACGCCGGTAACGTCGTACGATTACCGACTGTCTGTAAACGTGGAACGGAGAGCGATGCGCCCTCTGTGAACATTCAACTACGTAGCCAATGTTTGGGCATCTTTTTTAGCGACACAGTCGAATATAGTTTTTGCGCGAAACGCACGAAATAGTATTAACAAATATCGCGTGACTTTCTGTCATACAAATTACTCAAACTAACAATTTGCATTTTTTATTTGGAAGAATAGGATAATGGATAAAACACTTTTGAATTGCCGATATAAAACGCAACGCGAGCACCGGAGGCATAATCTGCGGTAAAGAAATATA